GATCTCTTTCTGTGCACGGAGGTAGGTGGGGGCCAGGCTTATGTGGATGAAGGCCTGTTCTTGGGGGGGGGTCTCAAAGTGGTGCTCCAAGTAGATGAAGTGAATTCCCAAAGGGAGACCATCTTGCAGGATGCTAGGTGAGGTGGGGCTCTCGGCCAGAGCTTGGAGATCCTAGGATTCTAGCTCTTTTGCTGTGGAGGGCTCAGTCCAAAAGAGGCTGGAGGGAATGGAAAGCCCATGGCACGTGGAATCAGCACATCTCCGAGGGTGCTCTCTCATGCCTAGGAGGAGGGGGAAGCTGTGGACAAGCTGGCTGGTCATAGTGTGGCCTCTGGAGTGAGTGAGTTGAAATCACTCACTTCTGGGTTGTTCAGCAGCTTGCCTAATCTCCTCTGCCTCAGTTTTCTCATTTAGAAAATAGAAACGCTGAGGGTGGCAGACCTCAAGGGGTTGCTGCACAAGTTCAACGAGACAATGGTGGTCTCATGGAATGCTAGGATTTCCCCACCTTCCCTATGGGCAGCGGCCTTGAACTTGGCCGGCCTCATGGGCCCAAGACCAGGAGGAAGGGCTGGACAAGTGAGCTTTTGCAATCCACCCCAAAAGTTCCAGGCTTACTGTTCCTGGGTGGTGATGAGCAAGAACCTCAGACTGGAGGTAGCAACAAAACAGCCACTTCCTTCCTTGCTGGGGTCCTGAGAACTGTGGTTGGTGCGAGATGTGAAGCCGCTGCTACTGGCTGCTACTGTGGCCGCTGGTAGAACCGGCTGTGGCTCCCTGGCCCCACCCTGGTCCCCAGGGGTGCCGTTGGAGGGGGGAGCTTGGTCCTGCCCTCCCCCAGCTCAGTGGGGCTCTGTGAGGACACCCAGCACCCTCCACATGTGTAGACAACATTCTGACCTCCGAAAGCTTCCAGCATCTCAGTCTCCTTGGGCAGAAGGGGAGAGGGAGCAGTTGGTCAGTTGTCTTTTGACCCAGCTGAGGCCAGTATCCTACAGGACCCTTGGCTTTCTGAGCTGGCCCCTCAGTCTAGTTGCTGGAGGCTGCACAGGGTCAGTCACACCTCCTCAACTTCCATGCAGAGGCCAGAGCTGGGGTACCCTAACCTTAGTCTCTTGCCCACTGGGGGAGAGCCTTTGGGATAAAGCCCTGGGGCTCCAAGGCCAACACCTGCCTGTTCTGGACTCAAAGTTGTCCTCTCCTCTCCCCCATCAGCTGCAGGTCTCAACAATTCTCCCTTCTGAATTCCTCCTTTTCTGTCCATCTCCTTGGCAACTGGCCCTGGCTCAAGCAGCCATAACACTGGTCTCCCTGCTTTGTGTCTGAACCTTAAAAAATAATCATATTACTCTACCATCACCACCATTGCTAACCAGTTGCTGCTGCCTCCTTCCCCACCCCTTACACCCCACGAACTCAAACAAAAACTTTGAATAACTCCAATGCCATTTCTGCCAGTCAACATTAAATAGAAGTAACAACCAAGTTCATCATGGACCTTCCCTATAATCACCCAGCGCTGTCACCATCGCCACCCACCCCTGTGACTAACTAGTCACCATCAACAATGACAGGCCACGTTTGGTGGCTCACCATTCTACTTGGGGAGGTGGAGATTGGGAGGATTGGTTTGAGGCCAGCCTGGATTTGGCGGGGAGTTAGTGAGATCCCATCTTAATCAATAAACTGGGCTTAGTGGTGCACGCCTTTGATCTCAAAGCCTACAGTTGCAGGAGGCATAAATATGCAGGAGATATAAATGGGAGGATTTGGTCCAAATGGCCTGGGCATAAACACAAGACTCTATTAAGAAAATAACTACAAAGGGCTGGTAGAGCCCCTGCCTAGTAAGCATAAGGCTCTGAGATCAAACTCCAGAACCTCCAACAAACGAGAAACAACAAAAACATAAAACAATAACAATTACCATCAAGAATAACAACCACCTTGGTATGGTGGTTTGCTCCTAGAATCCCAACACTGAGGCAGTAGGATCACAAGTTTGAGGCCAGCCTGGGCTACATAGTGAGACCCTGTCTCAAACCAGAAACAATAACCACCATTAACAACAACCACTGTCAACACCACCAGCCATTAACAACCACATGTGGTTCTTCTGATCCAATTCTGCCTCGCTGAGCTTCTGAGCCTTTCTGGTTTGTCTCAGTCTTGACAGAATTTGCACTCCAAGCTCAGAGTGTCTGCTGATGGTTTGGTTACCCAGAAGGGCTGACTACCATTAGTAATACCACAAAGCAGCAATCATTAACCATATCCCAATTAAAATCCAGCAGCAAATAGCCACCATCTTCATTGATCACCATCCCAGAAACCAGCAAGCACAGCCAACACAGAATAACAGCAACCACTGATTGCCATCATTCTACCCAGCACCGCCAGGATTTCCAGCTGAGAACCATCAATTTCCATTAATGACCAACATTAAACACCAGCTGGCCTCAAAGTCTATGACCACCCACAAGAACCATGGTTAATGGCTGGGGCATGGCTTAAGCCATAGAGCACCTATCTGCCTAGCAAGTGTGAAGCCCTGAGTTCAAAGCCCAGTACTGCCTCAATATTTCTTTTTTGGCAGTACTGGTATTTGAACTCAGGACCAAATGCTGCTAGGCAGGCGCTCTACCTCTTGAACTACCTGCCAGCCCTTTTTTATGCTGGGTATTTTCAAGACAGGGTCTCATGAACTGTTTGCCCCAACTGGCTTGGAACGTCGATCTTCCTGATCTCTGCTTCCTGGGTAACTAGTATTATAGGTGTAGCTACCCATACCCAGCTAAAAACATTGTTAATACCAACTGGTAAAGATCACTCTCACTCACAGTCAATACTACCACCAGCTACCCACAGTGACTTGTCCACGGTAGCCAAGAACAAGTTACCACTACACCTGTCACCATCACTAAGTCTAGCAAAGAGAAGGCCTCCTGGACAAGGACGGCTGCCAGGTACTGACTTCATACCATGTGTTCTGTAAAGGACCTGGTGGCACTGTTTCATTGAATATTTCAACAAGTGTCTTGTTTTCCACCAACCCTCCATGACGGTTTCACCTTCCCCCATAGAGGTATTGTTTGCAGAGATGGGTTTCAGTATCTTTCTTTTCCTTTTTTTTGGGGGGTGGGGGTGGGGGTGAGGTGGGACTGTTGCTTTTAAGTTATTAAAGGAAGAGTCTTGTGTTTTTGCCCCAGACTGGACTTAACCAAGATCTTCCTACTTACGTAGGAGGGACATACTGTGTAGCTGGGATGAGAGGGACGCACACACTCCCATGCCTGGCTTGTTTGTTGAGACGGGTTCTTGCTAACTTTTGTCCAAGTTGTCCTTGAACTACTATCCTCCTGATCTCTACCTCCCCAGTAGTGAGATTACAGGTGTGAACTACCATACCTGGCCTTGGGATTATATTTTTATTATTTTTGTAGTTCCAGGGTTTGAACTCTGGGCCTTGCACTTGGTAGGCAGGCTCTTTAGCACTTGAGCCATGCCTCCACCTATTGGGATTATTTTTTGACGCAGGGTCTTGCTACATAGCCCAGACTGGCCTGGAGCTCTCAACCCTCCTTCCTATGACCTCCTGGGTCTTGGGAGTACAGGTATGCACCACCATGACTGGCTCTGTACTGTTGGTGTGTTTCTCCCCTCTCAGACCCCAGCTATCAAGCAGTCTGTTGACTAAGCATTTCATTGCTGTGTCTGTAGGAGGGGTTCCTTTCCTTTCAAGTAGCACATCGCTTCCTGTGTTCTTCTGATCCAATTCTGCCTCTCTGAGCTCCTGAGCCTTCCTGGTTTGGCTCAGTTTTAGCAGACTTTGCACTATGGTTTGATTCCCAGAGAGGTCATCAACCAGCGATGCCCAAGTTCTCACTGGCTTTCTGAAAGATGTTTTCAGACTAACATAGCTGTGCCTCTCATCCCACCTCCCTACCTCTGCTCTCGTCGGCCTTTTGCTCTAATAGCAAGAACCCTGTTCTAGGAACACTGCCCTCAACCTCATTGACAGAATGACAAAGAATGAAAGCTGAAGTGGCCAGCAGGTGTGTGGAGCTATGAGGGTGACGTTGCTATAAAAGTCCCTCTTAATTGTGCCTGTCACGATGCTGCTGGGTCTAGACCCATGATGGTTGTTGGTGGTCCCCCAAACCTTGTCACCACCATCAGATGACCTGAGCCTCCATAACAGCAACACTTCTGGTTACATTATGTTCCCTGCCATCCTTGCATGGTGGCATGAACAACAGTCTCCCTCCCCCTCCCCCTGCCCCTCTCCCTCCCCCTCCTCCTGCCCCTCTCCCTCCCATGCTCCTTTTTTTGTGTATGTGCTGGGGATTGAACCCAGGGCTTCCAGCATGCTAGGCAAGTGCTCTACCACTGAGCTACACCCCACTCCTGTCTCCTAACCTTCTTTCTGCCTCTGTGATTGCTACAGTCAAACCACCACCTATCACCCTCACAGCTGCACTGTCACTACAGCCCACTACCCAGGAGACACAGCTTCCTCTCCGACTTATGGATTCAGATAGCCAAACCCATACTCCAAGAATGTTCCAGGCCCCCAAAGAACAACTTCCATATCTAGACTGACTTCCAAATATGACATCTGTGTGATCAGAGGCCAAAAGAGCACAAACAACTTTGCTCAAGGCTACACGGGAAGATGAGCTGGCCAGCAGGTTTCCTACGCCTCAGGAAAGGGGACTGTCCCTGTCAATGCAAACTGTTTGATTCCCTCAGGACTTCCTTCTTTCTGCTCGCTAGTTCCTACTCCATTCTTGGTCCCGATAGACAATCTGACTTCTTCAGATGGGAGCTTTATCCCTGGTAAGGGACACAAAGGGGCACCTCAAAGGGACTGCCTTGAGGGACCCTCAAAGGGTCCATTCCTCTCCTATCACCCCACTTTCTGGTGGTGGTCTTAGTGTCACCACCTGTCTGATGTCCCCCACCCATGCACTTCTAGAACTGACCCCTATAGGACTTACCATGGTGGGAGATGGTGTCCGGGCTCCTGGGGACCACCTGGATGGGTTGTGACAGGGGTGCGGACTCACTCAGAAGGCTCTTGGGGGTGGCTCAGGCATGGCCCTACTCCTGCTCCTTTGCCGACTCCCAGCCCTAGTTCCTCTTACAACAGCCCCTCTCTCACTTCCTTTGACGGGAGGGGCCATGGCCACAGGGGAGGGAAGCTGAGCCTTGAGGGTGAGGGCGGGGAAAAAAGCTCCAAGCCCAGCAGCTGGTGTCTGGGTTGGTGGTGCTGGTGTTTGGGGCACTGAGTCTGAACAAATAGGTCAAAGATTGCTGGCAGCCAATGCCAGACCCCAGAAAAGCCCCTTCTCCATCTCTTTAGGGACAGAGGCTACAGCAAAGGGCTTTCAGGTCAGCTGGCTGTAGGACTGGCTGCCTCATTCCAGAGTGACACTGGGAAGCTGCTCACAGTGTCCCCAGGCAAACTCCTTCTCCCAGAGTGGCCTCTGCTGGTCTCCCTATAGAATGGCCCTGCAGAGCCACAAGTGTTTGAGCTGAAAGGAACGGAGGGTGCCAGGAGCTAAGTACACCTGGAGGGTCTTGAATAAACTTATGTCAGATTCAGATCTTATATACCCCTTAACTCTGCCACTTCCTGCATGACTTCCCTGTCTTTTCATTGTAAAATGGGGACCCAGGTTTTCCTGGCACACGTAGGATCCATTACCTGTCAGCCAGTGCCTTGATTTTTTTGGAATACCACAAATGAATCTTCTGTTGGTATTTGAAGAATTGGCAGTTCTAAGAGATTGTCACCTCCTCATGCCACCCAGCGAGGAGGTGGTTGAGATAGAACCAGACTCTGAGTCTGGCAGGGACCCTGTACTCAGACTCATCTTAGGTCCAGACCTGAAGACCCAGGATGTCTCTAGGCTCTCATGCCTGGCAACCCGCATCCTCCCAGAAGGTGTTAAAATAGGCACCCCTAGTGACCACAGCTGGGAAGGAGTCTCCAATCTCCAGAGCAAGTTTTCTGAGTTGACAGTGAAACTTTAGCATGCAAACTTCAAAGCAGGACAACCTCATTTATTGGGGGGCATCAAGGGAGTGTGGCATTATGAATCTCTGTGAGAGGCTGTTCATTTGTCCTGAAACCACTGGGTCCTGTGTGTGTTGGTCAAAGTCCTCTCTCTCTGGTTGCTGGGGATGACCTGTGAGGGGATGTGGCCCATTCTGGGCCTGGGGCAGGGGCTAGATGAGACACTGACACACACCCACTCATGCATGGAAATCTACTTAAGACAGAACTTTATTGATGTAGGGCTTCCTGGTGAGGAATGTGTGGGCCCCAGGGCAGGGCTTGTAGCACCATGATGGGGGTGACCTGGATGTTGGGGCAGGCAGGGCAGAGGTTGGGGTGGATTTTCCCCCTGGTCAGTTCAGGGGGAGGGTGTCAGGGAGGTGGTGCTAGCCCTTCTCCCCCATATCAGACCTAGATTCTAACCCCCCTTCCCAGCTGGAGCGGAGGGGTGTAACAGTGCTGGGGGCAGGGCACTGGCAGACCCCTTCCCCACCCCCACTCTTCACAGTACATATTCCGATCAAGGGTGGGGGAGTGTTGGGGACTCCCTAAGGGTGGGTGCTGGAGCAAATAGGTATCCCCTCTCTAGAGCCACCAGGGAGGGGGGATCAAACTATGAACTGGGTAAGGGGCTGAAGAGGGGTCCTGGGGGTAGCTAGCCCCTCTTCATCCCCCAACCAGGGGCCCTGCAGAGGTTTCCAATAAATAACTTCCAGCTCCATCTCACCCTTCAGTCCCAGCTCCCGCCCCCTCCGGCCCTCTCTGGTGGGGTTCCCCCTTAGCCTGTGCTCAGTTGTGGCTCCAGGTGCCGCACGCCCCCTAGCGACCCTGGCAGGTTTTGCAACACATCTGGCGGAAGTAGGCTCGACTGCAGAACTGAAATTTGAGCACCAGGGGGCAGTAGGCGACCTTGTTCACATCCTTGCATTCTGGAGGGGAGGAAAAAAGGGGCAATTAATTCTCAGCGGCCGGCGGCGGAGCAGGGGGTCTTCCGACAGATGGCTTTCGTTCTCTGTACTTCGTTTCCTCAACTGTCAAAGGGGGCCTATAATAGGACCTATGTCATTGGGCTGGTTTTAGGATTTAGAGTGTAGCAGGGTTGGAGTTGACTCCGACATATCATCAATCAGAGACGTATTCCCCCTATTCAGTGATCTTTTAGATACTATCCAGAAGAGAATACCTGTTTGGGGTTGCAATGCTCACATTAGGGAGACTCCCTAATGTGGCACCTCTTTCCAAGAGAATATACTGCTTAACCCCTTCACAGATGAGGAAACTGGGGAGAGGGCTCCCTAATGTGGCACCTCCTTCCAAGAAAATATGCTGTTTACCCCCTTGACAGATGAGGAAACTGAGGCACAGTGGTGGAAAGTGAACCCTAGTAGTTTGATTCCAGAGCCCAGAATAAATCACCTAATGTTCTCTATCAAAAGTAAATTTACAAGCCAGGTGTGGCAGCTCACACCTGTAATCCTAGCTACTTTTGAGGTGAACTGAGAAGATCAAAGTTCCAGGTCAGCCCAGGGAAAAAGTTCGAGAGGCTCCATCTTTGCAGAAAAAGTTGGAAGTGATAGTGTGTGCCTGTCATCCCAGTTACTGTGGGAAGCGAGACCCTATCTCCAAAAAGAACCAAAACAAAAACGGCTGGGGGTGTGGCTCAAGTGGTATAGTGCCTGCCTAGCAAGCTCGAAGCCGTGAGTACAAACCCCAGTGCCACAAAGAAAAAAAAAAAAAGAAAGAAAGAAAAAAAAGAAAAAGAAAGAAAAAAATTACTTAGGTGGAAAAAAATGGGTTTAGTATAAAAACTGAGGTTATCATGAGGAGGCAAATTTGTCCCTCCCCCACATTGGGCAATGTTTGGAGACATGTTTCCTCGTCACGACTGGGGAAAGGATGCTATTGACAGATAGGGAGGGGCAGAGGCCAGGTTGCTGCAAACATCCTACAAAACCACAGGGCAGAAACATAGTCAACAAAAAGTCCATAGTACCTGATTTTGGAAAAATCAGATTTAAAGGAAAAAAAAAAATACTAGGCAAGCAATGGTACAGGTGGAAATGAAGAGGGTGAAGGTCACGGAGGTGGTTGAGGGTTAGGTACCTGAAAAGTGTGGCACTCAGTGGCACCTAATGAATGTTTTTGGGTCATTCTCCCTCCCGGCCACCATGGCCTTTTGTGGCTTCCTCAAGTCAGAGTGGTTCTGGTGTCCCCTGGCCTATTGCCCGCATACCTTCGGGGCCATCTCCAGGGGGCACACTGTCACACTTGGCCTCACACTGCTGTGTGGCGGGCGGCCTCAGGGCCTCGGTGCACTCGCGGGATGGCTGGCCAGTGTGGCTGGTGCAGCGCACCGCGCGCTGCTGCTGGCCGAGGCCGCACTGCGCGGAGCACTGCGGAGAGAGACTGAGCCACCGCGCCACCGCGCCACCGCCCCTGCCCTCACCGTGGTCCCCCAGGGTGCGCCCACCTACCTCGCCCCACTCGCTGGCCACCCAGCGGGCAGGAGGACAGCGACGCAGGTTGCAACGCATGGTGGCGGGCGGCTTGGCTGAGGGTGGGCAGTGCGCAGGGGGCAGCGTGGCGCGGTTATCCGCGCTCTTGCAAAGGACCACGCGGTGGCGGAGGCCCGGCCCGCAGCTGGGTGTGCACTGCAGTTGGAGGGGGTGTTTTATATTCAGTGTGCGTTTTCTGTTCAGGGTGTTGGCCCAGTGGAAGGTGAGTAGTGGCTAGTTGAATGTGGCCCTCTAGGGCTAGCGTGACTGCAGAAAAGTGTCCACATGGGTTTCCAGGGTCCCTGTCTCCCTTCTCTGCATTGGGAGTAGGCTGCGTGGGGATGGGCGGGAAGGCAGGGGAGGCTCACCTCGGACCAGTCCAGGGCCGCCCACTCGGGAGGGCAGGCGGGACCGTGGCAGGCTTCCAGCACGGGTGGGCGCGGCTGCGGGCAGGCGCTGTCGTCAAGCGCTTTCTCCTCGGCGGCAGACACGCGGCGCTGGCACACGACGGAGCGGCTGCGCACGCCTGCATCGCAGCTGCGGCTGCAGCGCGTCCAGTTTCCTACAACCCAGCTGTGGGGGTGCAGGAGGGTCTGGGAAACGATGCAGGGTAGGAGGCGCCCAACGAGGGAGCTTTGGGTACTAGCCCATCCCAACCCTCTCTTATGGAAACTGGCCCTGGGCAGGGCGGACTGTTGCCCCAGCAGAAAGCACCCAGTCTGCACCCAGACTGGGGACCTGGATGCATCACCTAGGAGGGAGCTGAACATGAATTTGGACTCCAGGACCATCCAGCCTTGACTCTTATCCTGATCCCATGAACCTAACCTTGACCTAATAAATCCCATAGCATGTTTTTTTTTTTTTTTTTTCTTTTCTTTTTGGTGGTACTGGGGTTTGAACTCAGGACCTCCTGTTTGCTAGGCAGGTGCTCAACAGCTTGAATCCCACCCCCAACCCTTTTTGTTATCTTTTCAGGTGGGTTCTCATGATTTTTCCCCATGCCAACCTGGAGCCCTGATTCTCCTAACCTACTGCCTCCTGGATAATTGGGTCCTGCACCAACCTGCACCCTGACCCCCGGGAACACCCTCACCCCACCCTGGACTGGCAGGCACTCACTCTGGTGGGCAAGGCTCTGTATTGCAGGCCCGCTGCCTCTTGGGAAGTTTGCTGTGGGCGCTGCAGTAGTGAGGGGCCACGGCTGAGCTGTCCAGCTGATTTCGGCACTCCACGACCTGCACCTGGCTGCCTGGGGGAGGGGAGAAGCCCGCTGAGCCCTAGCCGGCCCAGAGAATCTGAGCCTGGTGCCAAAGTCCACCCCGAGTTCCCCCTGGCCTCACCGCCTGCACACTGGGCTGAGCATTTGGTCCAGGGTGCATAGTGCCAGGAGTAGGGGGGCAGGGCATCCCGGGCGATGGGTGCGTTGAAACGGTAGCGGAGGGCAGGCAGCTCTGTCCGGGCCAGCACCTGGGGACATGGGAAGGAGCCAATGGAGGAGTCTCATGGAGTCTCCATCCCCAAAAGGATGCTAAGGCCCTCCCAGTACTTTGTCCAGAGCCCCGCTGTTACCATGACGATGAGTGATGCATTAATGGGTCCCAGGGCTTCTAGGCTCTGGGCCAGGTCTGGCCCCTGTCGCAGGTGAAAGGTGGTCCCAGCCAGGGGCAGGCGGTGAGGCTGGGGGGTCCCCGGCAACCCCTCCAACAACAGGGACTCCTGATCTCCCTTCAAGGCTGAGGCACAGGATAGGGGTCAGAGCTCTAGTCACACTGAGCCCCCAATCCCAGTTTATCTTCAATCCTTATTCCCCCACCTTTTGCTTACCCAGGTGACTGAGAGTCAGGTTCAGGTCCTGGATGAAAATGTGGACGGAGCCTTTGGGGATCCAGACGACATCCTCGTACCCTGGACAGTGGAGTTCAGATGTCACCTACTTGTGCATCCCTCACACTCACCTGTCTTCCCTATCCATAGCCCTGATGATCACAGTTAACCATTATCGTGCTAAATGCTTACAGGGCACCCCACTGCGATCCTGCTTGGACCCTGTGAGATGCATGTACTGCCATGCCCATTTTTCAGATGGTACAACGGAGGCTCAGAGAAACTAAGTAACTCACCCAGATTTTAGCCAGAAGTGACTGGGCTGGGATTTGAACTCAAACTTTCCTGCTTCTCTAATCACCACATATCCAACCCCCTCCATCCCTGTGAGCAGCAAGGCTGGGGGGAAGGGTACTATCAAGTCCTTGATAATGACATGGGTGACATAGTGGAGTCTAGCACCAGAATTGGGTTTTCAGCAGCCGCCTCTGGCTGCCTGGATGATCTTCCACTGTTGCCCTCTTGTGTCCCCAAGAGTCCTGGCTTATCTGGCTAGACTTCCACACTGTCCTCTGTGGACTGCTGGGTCATGTGAGTTCACCTTCCCCAAGGGCTATGTTTCCATGTCCCATTCCAGTCAACTTCTTACCCCCAGGATGGGCCAACTGGCTCTGTGGAACCCCGGGGGCTGGGCTCAGGTGTCCTCAGGCATACGGACCCCCAGTCTCTCTCTCCAACCCACTAGACATCACTTTGATGTTCTTTGGTCTCCTCAGCCTCCCTATGTTCCAACTCAACTCTTTTTCCTGTTTCTTCCCCAAATCCCCATCTTTGGGACAGCTAATTTCTCACCAAGGATGGTGGATGCCCACGCCCATGTGAACTCCTTCATCCACCCTGTGTTGCATATCCCAAATCCATGACTGACCCATGTCCTACTATATCCTGCTTCTAAATTTATCTCCGTTTCTTTTTTTTGTGGCACTGGGGTTTGGATCACAATGTCTGGGGTGCTTGTTAGGTAGGTGCTGTACTACTTGAGTCATGCCCCCAGCCCTTTTTGCTTTAGTTCTTTTTCTTTTGTTTTCTTTTCTTTCTTTTGGCAGTACTAGGGCTTGATTCAGGGCCTGACGCTTGCTAGGAGGCGCTCTTACCACTTGAGTCACTCCACCAGCCCTGCTTTTGTTATTTCTCGAATAGGGTCTCCCACTTTCCCTCCTGCCCAGGCAGGCCTGATATGTATCTTGATCCTCCTGCCTATGCCTCTGGTGTAGTTGAGAGGTTGACAGGCAGGCACCACCAGGCCTGGCTTGATTGTTGTAGTGGAGTCTTGCTAATTTTTTTTGCCCAGGCTGGCCTCAAACTGCAGTCTCCCTGATCTCTGGCTCCCAAGTAGCTGGGATTACAGGCATGAGCCACCATGCCCAACTCCATTCCATCTTTTTTCTATACTCACGACCTTTTCTGACTCTGGATTATCACATAATTGCACACATAATCGCACTCTTGACACCAGCTGCTTATCTCTTAAAAAACCCCAATCAGCCCCTACCCAATAAATGAAACCCACACTTGACAACATACTCCTTGGGGGGGGGGGTCTGTGAGGTCCTGCCACAATCTCAACAGTGCTTCTGGCTTCTCTACCTTCTCAATGTTTCCTGAAGCCCCTTATCTCCTCCCCCACTCCCTGAGCTCAGCCCAAGCTGGGAAGCTCAGTATCCCACTCCTAATAAGCCCTTCTCTGCTAGAACAGAGTCCCCCAACCCCTTTGACTCACAGGATAGAGAGTAACACCCCTTCTAACCTATCCTCAGGTCCTCAGGATGGCAGAAGGAGAGACTTGGGCTACCATCCCCCAAGACAATTTGAATTGCCAAGGTCTAGGCACCAGCTTGTTGTTCGCAAGTCAGGAGCTGAGGTTCTTCCTGTTTCTAATCTGGGGCATTTTTATGTCCCCAGGACTTTTGGGGGTCTCTGAGACCCAAACCCTAACCTTAACTCAGACTCTATAGGATCCCTGGAGTTGAAGGGGTTACTGATCTTGATTACTGGGGTGGGGCCAGTCCTGACCCCAGTCACTAGGTTCAAGTGTGTAGAATGGAAGGGGAGCTGGGGGCTCTCACCTGTCCCAGGCAAGGCTGGGCTGAAGACCCCTTCGATGGTCTCACAGGCACTTCCATCACCCCCACACACTCGGCATTTGTCCTCCCGCAGGTCAGAGCCCAGAACCCGGTCACAGCCCACATGCTGCATGGAGAGGGCAGTGTGGGCGGTGGTGGGGTCATGTCCCCTCCCACACCCTACTCCCCATCCCTTCTCCATCTCCCCAGGAGTCCCCTCCACCTTGCACTCGCCGCTGACACAAATGTCCACAGTATCTGGGCGGCAGGGCGTCCCATCCACCACAGCTGCGGCCCTCTCGGTGTAGAAGTTGAAGCCTTCTGCTAGGCATGTCAGCGAGCAGGCCTTCACGCCCCCTGGGGGGCACAGCCCCGTCAGAACCAAGGCCAGACCACCCCGGAACTCCCTGCTTGCTCCCAGGCAGAGGCAAGGCCGGGCAAGACCCCAGACCCAACACCATAGGTAGGTTGGGCAGAGGGCGTGGGGGATCCCCAGTGTCTAGGCAAGGCACCATTGAGCCATATTCTGGGCATTGTTTCCTTGGGCAAGGACCCCAGGCAGACCCCATGATGCTATAAACACCCAACTGCTGCTGGATGCTCCCACAGCTGCCCTCCACTGTCCCCACAGCCTCTGGGACTCCCCACTCACCTCCTCGATATGTCTTCCATGTGTAGAATTTTCCACGGAAAGGGACACTGTCGAATTCAGAGCACTGCATTTCCCTGAAGTCCTGGGAGCCAGGGGGACAGTCCTGGGGCAGGGGGTCGGGGAGAAGTTAGGGTAGAAAAGTGGTACTCACTGTGGCACAGTTTGGACAGGTGAGACTGGAGGTAGGGAGGCCAAGGAGGAGGCTGTGATGGTCAAATGAGACTGGACAGTGGTCCATGCTAGATAGCTAGGAGCATGTGACATGTGACTCACTAGAGGTTAGGGGAGAACTGGGGTTGATGCCTGAGTTCTGAGCTCAAACAAGGGGGCCTACAATAGAATAGGGTTAGGAGAGGATGCTGAGTTCCTCATGACCGTGAGTAGTTTGTGGATTCCCTGTGACACAAACATCTTCAGGTGGGGGGCCAGAAAGGGCACTGCTCACCCCAAAACTTTTCCTACTCTATGAATATTCCTCCTTCTGGTAAGCCTCTGGTGTGTTAGGCATGTACACCTAAAAGTCTCCACCTACAGGGTTTAGTCATGGGGAACCCAAACGTTTAAGGAAGGAGCAGCAGAGAAACTCCAGAGAGAAGCTGTGATGGGGATGTAGTCAAGCCCAGGGCTTCAGAGACATGGTCATTCCTGTCAGATGTTGGGACAAGCAGAACGTAAAAAGATGACCCCTGGGTTTGGTGACAGGAAGCCCAACCAGGCTTTGGGGGATTACAGGGGGCTGGGGACTGGGGAAGGGGACACACTGGGTTGTACCTGGAGAGGGGTGTGAGGGCAAAGCAATTATTTGCAGATGGAGAGACTCCTAGTGAAAGAAGTTGAAGATCAGAGAAAGAGGGATTGCTGGGAGGAGCCCCATCCCTTGGGAGTTGTAGGGTGGAGGGGAATGGGCTGCAGGGGCAGGTTAGGAGTAAAGAGTGACCGCAGCAGGTCCCCAGAGAACTCAGGGAAGGAGTTTGAAGTCCCATGCAACTAACTCACGTCGGTGTTGCAGGAGCGGTGCCGACGTCTCTCGCCAAGACAGTACTTGCCTCCGATGGTTGGCCTGGAAACGGCAGGGGAGATAGGAAAGATGGGACAGGGGGCTATAGGAGGCAAAGGTTTCCTTGTCCCTGCTGTCTTGGGCGAGGGTCCTGAGGACCGACCTGGGGCTGTCGCAGTGACGGCTGGAAGAAGATACGCCACCGCCGCACGTCCTGCTGCAGTCGCCCCACGGAGTCCATGGGCCCCAGGCTCCGTCTACGCCTTCTGGCCTCGACCCGAAGGGGACACACACCCGTTTGTAGCACCACTGGGAGAGAAGTGGAGGGGAGAATGAGGAGGAGCGAGTCCAGTTTTCCAGACGCTCTGGGCTCGGTGTCTCTGCCTCCCTGTCCCCTGCCCCTCTGGGATGGGGTGGAAGAGAATGGAGAGGTGGGATCGGAAGACAGGGACCGTCAGGTAGCAATAGGGGTCTGGCCTGAGGCCAGCGGCACTGCCAGGCAGCCGATCTGCTGAAGCAAGAGGCGTGCCCTAAGCACAAGGTCACCGGCCAAGGAGGGAAGTGAGCACTAGAACGAGCGAGGGGCGTGGCTTGAGGCGGGCAAGGGTGTGGCCTCAGACCAGGGGAGGGGCACACCAGGACCGAGACCCTCATGCAGTGGGCGTGGCCAAAGCCGAGGACCAGAGAGGCGTGGCCTAGACAGGAAATTGCTCGAGGGGGCGGGGCCCAGCTGGGCGCCCTGGCCTGCGCTCACCCCCTTGTCGATGGTGTGCGTCTGGCACAGCGTGCCCTCGGCGGCCGGGATGCTGTTGGTGATGCACCGGTTGCTCTTGCTCAGACACCACAGCTCACTGCAGACCTCCTGCGGGCCGAGGCGCCGCTCAGGCTCGCCCCCCACTCCTTAGGGCAGCCAGTATGGCTCGAGAGGACCCCAGTGCTTGCTTGGGTCTCAACGAGTCCCATCCTTTTTTTGAGGTATGGCCTGGGACTTCTCTGACAATACGCTGTGCTTATGGAACACCTATGTATGCCATAAACTCTTTGGGGACATTATTATCCCCATTTTATCGCAAGAAAACCAAGGTGCAGAAAGGTAAAGGGCCGTGGCTACAGGCCACACTACTAAGGGAATCTAACTCAGATCTTTGAGGAAGGATATGTTCTCTACTGACTGCAGTTGGGCTCCTCTCGCCTTCTAAAACTTGGGACCTGCTGTGGGGAAGGGACAGGGAGGATTCTCCTTTCCTTTTTGGGATGGGTAAAAGCATAGGAAGGAACAGCGGTTCTGAGAAATCAAGAACTTCCATGGTGGCTCAGGTCCAGTGTTGAGCCTGCAATAAGATTTTAAGCTATGGGGTGGGGGTGTGGGGGGCTCAAGATTGTGAAGTACCAGGCTGGGTCCGCTAATGAAAGAAAAGAAACCAAACCAAACCCTTCCTGCCTGAATCCTGCTTGAGCTGGCCCAGGCCCTGCAGCCAGCTTGTCAATGTGAGGAAGCTGGACCCAGGGAGTCACTTTGATCCTTCAGATCCGAATTAATAAACCTAGAGAGAAGCCCCACTAGGTTCAAGGGTGGCCAAATCTCACTCCCTCCAGCCTGTCTTGCCCTACCTTCCCAGGGCCTTCCCTCTGAGAAACAGCTTCTGGAATCCTCTCTTTGGATTAACTACTTCCCGGCTTTGAAAATTGTGAGTGAACTAACCAATGGCGGTAGGAAGGTACACTTCTCTGGTTAATCCCTGGAGATGCCTGCATACACTTGAGAAGTCTGGAGAGTCGTCTCAAACCTGCCCCCTCCCAGAGGGCACTCCTTAGCTAAAAACTCGGCCTGGTTTTCTAGCTTTACTTGGCTTCTGTTCTAAAAATATCAACAAGCCCGCCCCATTCTGCTTGTGACACTACCTTATTCCAATCCTGCTTTTGACCTCCTGCCCACAAGGAGGCGCTATGCCATATTTAAATAAGTCCTAGACCACTCTGGGAGAACTCAACCCTGCTACTGATTTTCATTGCAGTCCCTTCTCTGGGACTGCTTTCTCATCAATAAGATAGGCAGTCTAATGCCTGCCTTGTGACAGGATAGACAATGAAAGGGCTTGCATCAATGCCATATTATTTGGGTAGCAATGAACACAGATATCCCTGGACCAGGCACTAAGCTGACCTCTTTAACCAATTTATATGTAGTAAATAATTTTGCCCTTGGCCAGGAGGGCCATGAAGATGTCTTCCAAAAATAAGAAGGTTCAATTCAACAGTGACAGCCCAAGTTTGATATTCTGACAGCTCCTCTCCCCAAATTTGTAGCCACCACAGAGACCTGGCTTCAAATTCTGACTCTAGGGTCAGTCTCCTCACCTGTAACTTGGGAACAATAACTTGTCAGAGGTTTAAGTGAGATGATACACACCACACAATTAGCACATAGGGAGTAGTCAGTAAATACCAGCTATCATCACCGTTGTTAGGATGCCATGACACAGCAGACACTCAGGGGTCACCTCAGAATTTCTTTAAAGGGTGCTGTGATTCCCAGACAAATTAGGAGCAAGAGAATGTCAAACATACATTGCATCAGAATTTGTCTCTCTTTTTTTTTTTTTTTGGTGGTATTTGAGATTGAACCTTGTGCCTGCTACAGCCATGCCTTCAGCCCTTTTTTGCTTCAGTTATTTTTCAGATTGCGTCTCAAGTTTTTGCCCGGAGCCAGCCTGGACCATGATCCTCCTACCTACACCTCCCACATAGCTGAGATGTGACCACCATGTGACCACCATGTGACCACCACGCCCAGTTCACTGGTTGAGATGGGGGTTCTCACTAACTTCTTGCCATGGCTGGCCTCAAACTGCAATCATCCTGATCTCAGCCTCCTAAGTAGCTGAGGTTACAGGTGTGAGCTACCATGTCCAGCTGCCCCCTTGTTTTGCAGTGGAATGAAGTAAAGGCATTTTGATAGCTGCCTGCTTTGCATTAACGTGGCATTGTGCAAACTCTGATGCTTTCTGTGTAAGTTGTGCAGGATTGGGGCTGGGCCTGGGGCCACCATTGCTGAGGCTGAAGGAAGTCAGGAGGTGTGTTTAGGGAACCGAGAGAAGTGGATAGGAAGAACTGACCCTGGTTAGGCTCTGGTAGCCAAAGCAGGAAGCCAACGGATCTTTAGCTTCCTGAAGGAGCTGGAAGTGGGGTGCCTCTGCCCCAACCCCCCCTCCCCAACTCCCAGCCCATTTCTTTTTTTAATTTGGCAATACTAGGGATTGAACTCAGGGCTTTGTGGTTGCAAGGGAAGTACTCCTAAACCACGCTTCCAGCCCTTTTGATTCAGTTCATTTTTCTGATAGGTTCTGACACTGATTTTGCCTGGGCTGGCCTCAAACTGCGACACTCCTACCTCTGTCTCCTAAGTAGCTGGAACCACCAGTTGTGTGCACCATCGTGTCCGGCCCCTAGCTCACTTCTGGATGGCATGGATGGAGCTTTGAGAGTCTGAACTCCAGGAAGAGTGGGGAGCCTGTCCAGCCAAGGACTAGGGCCAGGAGACCTTGTGAACCAGTCAGTGGGGAATACAGGGAGTGAAGACTGGGAGTTCCTGGAAGGTTCTCTCCATTTGTTTGCCAAGTGAAGTAGCTGGCCCATCCCTGGGGAAACCATTCCCACCAACCATGAATTGTCTAACTTAAAACTGCCAAGTTAGAGGTCTGGGGACCTGGGTCTTGCTGCAGCCCACAAGTGGCCATGTGTGTGGACAGGTGGCCCTTCCCAGCCTAGTCTTCACATCAGGGGTCTGGAGAGGTAGGCCATCTCATTCTTGTTCCTAATCATTGGTGGCTTGCTTAGGACATTTGGACAGCCTATGTGCTTCTGTCCTCCCAGCTGTCCCAGGAGGCCCACCTCATCCCCTCTCTCTGCTCTCCCACCCTACTTCCCCGGTGGGTGCCTCGGCCAAGCTGCCCACCCTCCTGTGGCCCCCTCCCCTCCCAGGAAGGAAAGCAGGAAGGCTCTCTCTACCCCGTATTTACACTGACGCGATTTGACTCCATGTTGGAATCGGCACTGCTCATCTGCGTCGTAGGCCTGGCCGGGCGCCACCGTTGGGTACACGAAGTCCTGTCTGGGGGGCCGGTTGTTCAGGCAGAGCCCCAGGCCTGAGCTGCGGTGAGAAGAAAGCAGTTGTTATGCAAGGGGGCTGCAGGCCAAGACCTCAGGGAGCACCCAGCTGGGCGGGTGGGTGCCCTGGGGAGCTGCCCTGATTTGCAGAGCTCCCTAATGTGACTGTGACCCGCTGGGAGGGCTGGGCGTGTCCATCCTCACTCCAGAAAGCTGGTGATATAGTCACGGCTGCAAGATGACCACACAAACGGGTTGGTCTTCATGGTTATGTGCGCGGCCATAAGCTTCGCCGGGTCCTGGCCACGGGCCCCACAACTGTTCCCCACGCCATCGTGGTTCATGCCGAATCTGGGGAGAGGGGTGTCAGCTCTGTGGGGTGCTGAGGGACCAGCCCAACTCCTCCCGTCCTCCTTCTCCTGTGTCCCCCAGCCTCACGTGTGCCCGATCTCATGGGCAATGGTGAACGCTGTGGCCAGGCCAATGTCCTCGTTGATACTACAGCTCCTCTCTCGTTCACACATCCCGCCCACGGGGGCCAGGCCTGGGAAACAGGCATGTCGGTGGGGCTTTGCTGCCCGGCCCCATGCACCCTGCCAGGTCTCACCCCAGGGTCAGGGCCACCCTCATAGGTGCCTGGAACCTGCGGGACTCCAGTACCTAGTGTGCCACAGGGTTTGTTCTTATAGATGCAGATGTCATAGCTGTGGAGAGAGAGGGCAGAGAGGTGAGGGGGCTGGGCTGCCTCCCCTTGCTGATGCCACCTTGCCCAACCCCTCTGGGGGTTGAATCCTGCCTAGGAGGTACTACCTGCTTCTTACCCAAAGCTCATGCTGTGCGCCAGCTGGAGCCGGTCAGCTGACCTTGGGGTACTGTGGGTACCCAACTGTCAGTCTGAGTGACCGATCATCTGAATGAATGGGAGAGTGAATGAATGAGTGGTCAGGGCACAAACGGCCCCACATTCTCAGGCTCCCAGCATCCTCTGGAACAATCCCTGGCTCTCTGATTGGTGGCTGAAGCTTCCTAGCCTTTCTCAGCTCCTCCCATCCTCCATGAGTAGATGTCACCACTACTTGTACCCCAGTGATCGTTGGTCTACTTGTTCTCTCAGCCCTCCCGACTCCTCACCGTGTGATGAGCACGGCTGTGTCATGGTTGGCCACACCGTTCTCCGGAATGGCATTACCATGGCCGCTGTGGTTCACGATGGATTTCTGCCACTTACAGAAGCTGTCCAGGGACTTCCCGGCGTGGTGGGTGATCTCCAGGGTAGGCTGGGGATGGACAGAGTGAGGTACATGGGTAACCTGCCACACTGGAGACACAGGCTGCATTGGGTTGGAGGGGAAGGGGCAGGGACCCCACGCACCTGGTCCTCTGTGAGCAGGATGAGGCGGGTTACAAGGATGCTAACGGTGTTTCCCAGACTCGAGTCCTGGAAAAGTTTGGCAACCTGACCTCCAAGAAACAAGAGAAACCGAGTCTTAAGAGGAGCCCAGAAAAGCAAACATGAAGTACAACCAATAAGAGCAGCTTGCTTTAATTGAGCACCAACTGTGTTCTGGGTCCTAGGTTGAGCCTGTAGCATCTATGATTTCACCTTCATTTTACAGATAAGGGAACCGAGGCACAGAGGGCAGGGCATACTGCTGGTGGTGTCATAAGTAGGATTTAAGTTTGGGTTGCTTCCTGCCATGATTCTTTCTGTCTTAACTCAGTTTACCCATTTGTCCTCCAACCCATTTGTCCCTGCTTAACCCCGGCCACTGCTGCTTTGTGTGGTTTTTCCCAGAGGTGACCTGAGGGACATGCTTCATCCACCAAATTAAGCATCAACACAGGAAAGGGAAACTGTGGGAACAGGAGACTCTGGAGGCAGTGGAAGTGACCCAGGATAAATAAGCACAGATGACAGAGACCAGACTATGCACAGTTTTGGAGCCCTGGGCTATCATTGTCTTATCTGGAAGCCCCCAGGAACCCTGGTGAGTTTTAGGTAACTTTAAAAACCCAAGGGAGGGAGGCAGGGTTGGGGGTATCAGAAACAAGATTATGTTAACATCTTGGGCCATTTATCAGTCTGCTGAATTCTGTCTTGTCTTTTGCTTCAGTGAAACAAAAACAACATTCATCAAGCCCTATTCTGTCAATGCTCTACCTGGCTTCCCTCTCACCAACTCTTACCTTCTGTGGCAGACGCCCTTTTAACAGAGGAGGAAGCTGAGGCTCAGAGTGGCCAAGAATCTTGATTGAAATCAAGTGTGGGACCCAAAAGACTGTGACACAGGTTACTCCAGAGGCACCTGCACACCCATGTTTATTGCGGCACTGTTCACAATAGCCAAGTTATGGAAACAGCCAAGATGCCCCACTACTGACGAATGGATTAAGAAAATGTGGTATCTATACACAATGGAATTTTATGCAGCCATGAAGTAGAACGAAATGTTATCATTCGCTGGTAAATGGATGGAATTGGAGAACATCATTCTGAGTGAGGTTAGCCTGGCCCAAAAGACCAAAAATCATATGTTCTCCCTCATATGTGGACATTAGATCAAGGGCAAACACAACAAGGGGATTGAGCTTTGATCACATGATAAAAGCAAGAGCACACAAGGGAGGGGTGAGGATAGGTAAGACACCTAAATAATTAGCTAGCATTTGTTGCACTTAATGCAGAGAAACTAAAGCAGATACCTTAAAAGCAACTGAGGCCAAAAGGAGAAGGGGATCAGGAACTAGAGAAAAGGTGAGATCAAAAAGAATTAACCTAGAAGGTAACACACATGCACAAGAAATTAATGTGAATCAACTCCCTGTATAGCTATCCTTTTCTCAACTAGCAAAAACCCTTGTTCCTTCCTATTATTGCTTATATTCTCTCTTCAACAAAATTAGAGATAAGGGCAAAATAGTTTCTGCTGGGTATCGAGGGGGTGGGGGGAAGAGGGAGGGGTTGGAGTAGGTAGTAAGGGAGGGGGTGGGGGCAGGGGGGAGAAATGACCCAAGCATTGTATGCACATATGAATAATAAAAAAATAAATGAAAAAGAAAAAAGAAATCAAGTGTGGGAAGTGAGTACCATCAGCCCTTGGTGCACTCAACTAACCATGGACTGAAAATATTCAGAAAAGAAAATCATGGGGCTGAAGATGTAGCTCGGTGGCAGAGCACTTGCCTAGAATGCACAAGGTCGTGGGTTCCAACCCCAGCACCACAAGGAAACAAAACCAAAACAACAAAAAATTGTATCTGTACTGAATAGAATTTTTCTCCCTTGTTGTTATTCATTAAACAATACAACATAGCAATTACTTAAGTAGCACTTTTGTAGTAGGATGAGTAGATTATAACTCATCTAAAGGTGACTGAAAGCCTATGGGAGGTGTATAAATCACACGCGAATACTACACCATTTTATTGCTATCCGTGGGATTGCCTATGGATACCGAGGGACGGCTGTATTTCTGAGTGTGGTCAGGAAGATCAGCCTGTATGAGTCGACAAGCAGGTGCTTGGGTGCAAGGACTCAGTACACATTTAAGTGTGTGCCTAGGTGTGTACTGCCAACCTTGATGAGTGCCTGTAAGCTGTATATTTATTTTTTTAAACTTTATTTATTTATTTATTTATTTTTGGTGAGCCTGGGGTTTGGACTTAGGGCCTCGAGCTTGCTAGGTAGGAGCTCTACCATGACCTGTGTCCCCAGTCCTTTTTGCTTTTTTTTTTTTTGTGGACTGGGGTTTGAACTCAGGGCCTACATTTTGAGCCCCTCCACCAACCCTTTTTTGTGATGGGTTTTTTTGAGAGAGGGTCTCTCGAACTATTTGCCTGGGCTGGTTTCAAACTGTGATCCTCCTGATCTCTGCCTCCTGAGTAGCTAGGATTACAGGTGTGAGCCACCGGCACCTGGCCCTTTTTGCTTTTTATCTGTTTTTCAAATAGGGTCTTGTGTTTATGCCCAGGCCAGCCCGGACCGAAATCCTCCTATTTAAGTTTCCCACACAGCTAGGGTAACAGGCAAATGCCACCACGGCCAGTTTTTATTGGTTGAAATGGAATCTTGAGAACGTTTTGCCCAGGCTGGCCTCAAACTGCGATTCTCCTAATCTCCTCCTCTGGAGTAGCTAGGATTAAAGGCACTAACCACTGTAGCTGGCTGTGTATTTATTTTAATGCAAAGCCGCCAACGCTTTCATGGTACCTACCATGTATTTTTGTGATACTGGGGACCCCAGGGCCTCATGCATGCTAGGCATGCCAGGTGCTGTTCTTAGAACATTATAAATTCACTAAATCCACCTAGTCTAATCCCCATTTTTCAGATGGGTAAGTCAAGGCAGAGAAGTATTTTGCTGAAGAGTATACAGCTAAAGAGGGGCAGAGCTTGATTTAAACCAGGCACACTGCTTCTGCTGCAGAGTATTTGCTCCTAGACTCTGTGCTACCTTTCCTCACTCATGGTTGTGTGCCATCCTCTTTTTTTCACCTTGTTCCTTTCCAGTCTATTGCTCTGGGCAAAGGTCAGAGATTAGGGGTGGGACAGTGACACCCTTTTCCTCCACACCTGGAGGCTGACTGCAAGTCCTTGGGGACTCCACACGCAGGAAGGGGAAGGCACTTACAATGTTCATGATGGCCAGCACATATTGCTCCACGTCTCGGCGCCCGTGGTAGGCCACCATCATCTTGTCAGCCACCACTAGGGTCTCCACATAGCGCTCTCTGCTGACTGAACGCTTCAGGCCCGGCTGGCCTCGATCTGTTTCATTTCCCATGGGCCTGGCAGGCGGTGGCTTCAGAGTGCGCAGCCACCATGGCCGACCTTTCCACGGTTTCTCGTCTAGGGGATCCAGTAGAGCAATCAAACCCCTGCTGCTGGTGGGGCACAGAGCCGCCTGACAACTGTCTTGTGAAACCCTTGACTCTCTGGTTGTTCCTCTACCCAAGGGTCTGTCAAATGCCTGCTTTCTTTTGCTATCTGAGTATCCTGGCGACGTAATGTCTAGTTCTATAATGTCCCACTATTTGAAAATTTAGGTCTATACTGATATGTCTATTCCTCTGTCAAACAGCCCAACTCCTCACAAATGGTTGTGCAAAAACACAGCTGACCCATGCTTGATTTCCATCTGCTCAACAACCAGACTTCCCCAATGTCTAATGTACAGCTGAACATTTGTACAACTGTCCCTTTGCTAAGCTGGTTGGGTGACCAACTGCCCAGTACCCCATTACGACCAGTATGATTGTACCACATCCTGGCAATTACACCGCCCATTTGTATTGGTGTGGCACAGCCCATCTCATTGTCTCAAATGCATACGTTTATATTTTTTGAGACTACGTCTCACTATGTAGCCCAGGTTGGCCTTGAACTCTCAATCCTCCTGCCTCAGCCTCCCAAGTGTTGGGATTATAGTTGTGTACCACCACACCCCGCCTAAGTACTTGGCCTTCTAACTAAGCAACTTTCCAACCAATGCACTGGCCAACTGGCTCATTGTAGAACAACTCACTGCCTTATTCTACTATAGCTGGATTGCTGTACTGGTCACCCAGTTATGACACCATCCCACTTTCTGCTTGTCCAACTAACAGTGGCTGTATGCCACAGTGTGCTTTTTGCTTTTGCAGCACTGGGGTTTGAACTCAGGACCTCACACTTGCTAAGCAGTGCTCTACCACGTGGGCCACTCCACCAGCTACCACAATGTGTTATTCGCAGACTATTGGGTTGCATAATTCATTTGATGACTCATTATGTTTTTCTGTTGAACTTTCTATCAATCTGTTTTCTCGTTTTTTTTGAGATAGGGTCTTGCTTTATATCTGGCCTGGCCTGGATATGGTCCTCCTATTTGTGCTTCCTCAAATAGCTTGAATGACAGGCATGCGCCACTCCACCCAGCAGTTGGTTGAGATGGGGGCTCATGAACTTTTTTGCCTGGGCTGGCCTCGAACTATGATCCTCCTAATCTCTGCCTCACAAGTAGCTAGGATTATAGGCATGAGCCATTGCTGTCTATCAATCTGTCTTCTAACTATAGATTATGGCTGGGAGATTCAGGGGAGCAATTAAGTCCTCACACTGGTGGAGCCTAGCCCAGAGCTGCTGGGCTATTATAAGGTTTTCCTCTTCTTTCATTCCCTAAAATGTCTAACATCTGTCCTACTGGTCTGGTTCTAAGTCTGACCTTTGAACACTGCTGGGGCCTTTCTGCTTGCATTTTGACTGTATCACCATGTGATATAACCAGTCTATTGCTTAACTGTGCAATTAGACAATAATCCCAGACATGGAATGGCTTTATACAGAATACCTGTCTGGCTGTCTTACTGCTGGGCCAGCCGACCATGGATCACTGCACTGTCTTGCGGCCTCACTGCTTGACTGTACGTATCTGTCCTGTTCCACTGCCTGCAGATGGCAGGAACACCCAAATGATACCACTTTGTCTCTTTCTCAACCACTTCACCATTTCATTTTCCCCCTCTGGTAGCTGGACAGACAGTGCTGCCTACTTCTGCCTGAAGGATAGAATGTTTTCTATAACCCTTGCCCATCCCAAGACAAATGTGTACCTCTTACTCCACAAGCTGTGTCCAGATGGGGGTGACGCAGAGAGGAACGCTTGTATACCACATGAGGGCCACTTTCTTCTGGGCCCCGGGGACCCTTGGGCCCACCTTGCAGGGGCTCGATTAGATATTCTTCCTCATCTGTCACAATCAGGCCATGCTGGGGGTGTGGGGTGGGCACAGAAAGATCAGATCAGGTTCTGGTTCACTGGATCCCTGGGATGACCCTATCTCTACTTTATGATTTCATTCTTCTGATCTTACTGGGCTTATTTTGCTATACTTTTTCTAATAATTTCTTTTCTTTTTATTTTTTTTAAGGTACCATCCTTTAATTTTCTAATTTATTGAGATGGGTGTTTCCCTCATTTATTTATTTTTTTTGGTGGGACTAGGGTTTGAACTTAGGGCTTCCCACTGGCAAAACAGGCACTGTACTGCTTGAGCCACACCTCCAGTCCATTTTGCTCTGGTCATTTTAGAGATGGGGATGTCTCAGACTATTTGCCTGGGCTATCCTTGAACCTTGATCCTCCCCATCTCAGCCTCCCAGGTAGCTAGGATGACAGGCGTGAGCCATCAGCACCAATCTTCCCCTCATTTTTTGTTTGGTGGGACAGGGGTTTGAACTCAGGGCTTCACACTTGCAAAGCAGGTGCTCTATCACTTGAGTTACACCTCCAGTCTGCTCTCATTTATTTTTAATTTTACTTAAGACTATTCATTTTCCTGTAAGTACTGCTTTAGTTGCATCTCAAAAATACTGATTAGCTCAAAAGACTTTCAAAAGGTCCATGATTCCTTTGCTGACTTGTATTTAGAAGTGTTTTTCTTAACTTCAGAAATGTGGGCATATCCCCCCTGCTTCCCAGAATCTTCAGCTCACCAGGCCCCCACAGGTGCTGATAGCCACATGAGAGCTGCTGGCCTGGCCTTGTAGGTGGCCGGCGTAGAGGCAGTGGGCCCGAGCAGCCCTCTGCCAGGCCAGGCCCTCCCGTGTCCAGTACTCCACGGAGACGTGTCCTGCCAGCAGACGGGGGCTGCGGGTCAGATTCAGCAGAAAATGGGTGCTGGGTGCGGCCACCTTGTAGAAGAGGCGGGTCTCAGCTATGGCCCCTGTTCCCCGACGTTGCCTTCGGAGGGCAGGTGGCGAGAAGGCCAGCAGCGCCCCGTTGTGGTCCACACGGGTTGGGAAGGCAATCTCATAGGTCTCCAGACTGGACAGGAACTCATCTGTGGGTGAGCATCACAGACCTGGAATGGGCCCTGGTTTGGCCAGTCCCTGTGTCCTGGAGCAGGTGATACTGGTCTCACTGATCATGATTCCAGGTCACTGACTGTAAGGCTCAGCCTAAGTGATCCCAGGTCCCTTCCACTCATCGACCCCCATCCTAGTCCATGACCCTTCTTTTTTTTGGGGACCCAACTGGCTTCAACTCTTGCTTCCTCCCCACTGCCACCTTTGGACAGTTCCTACCTTGAGATGGCTCCTACCTTGAGATCGGAAGGCATGTGTGACCTTGAACGTGAGGCCCAGCCCCAGGGCGAGGGCCCAGCGGAGGATCTGGCAGGCGGGAGCCATAGGGGCTACGTGTCCACATGTCTCTCCCCAGTCCCGGCTGCTGGCAGCCCCCGCAGTGCTGCCTCCCCTGTTCACAGTCTGGGCAGCATCACTGGGCTCCTGGGAGGGGAGACCAGGTCAGAAGGGGGGCTCTGTCCTACTGCCTAGTATAGGAGGGCCCTTGTCAGACTGACAGGGCGACCTGCAGCCCCTCAGCTGGCCAAGTCAGTTTCCCTATCTGAAGATCCCAAATGCTGTGTCTGACTTAGTAGCCACCATACTCTTCACCTCCTCTATTCTTTGCCCTTCCCACACTCAGGCAGGCAAGGCAGGTACCAGAATGCTGTGAGTATCTACTATGTGCCAGTGTGGCCTGGAAGTTTCCACACCATTGCTTTTCATTTCCTAAATAACTAAGAAGACCCCATTCCTCTGTGTCCTTGTATAGAGGAAGTGTGATAGACTGTCCAAGGTCACATGGTCAGAAAGTGGTAGAAACTAGATTCATTCATTGAGTAAGGACTGGGATGCACTGGAGGGCGCAGGCACAGCAGCTGCACATGACAAAGATGCAGTCCTCTTCCTCTGGGGCTCTGCCTCCTGAGAGTGACAGTCAATTAGATGGACAGACATGAGTATAGGTGAAATTGTGACATGTTCTCTAAAGAAATCAATGGGGCTCAGGGAAGCAGAGGTTCAAAGGACAGAAGAAATCAGTCGTGGAAAGAAACAAGAGAGGGTGAACTGCAGGGAAATGCTAAGGGCCTGAGGGAGGCCCCAAGGGGCCTGGCATGGACCCAGGGAGGGGCTGATGCAGGAGAGTGACAATAGGGAGGCTGGCAAGGGATACACCTGATGGCTGGGATGGTGGTTCAGTGCTTGAATATCCAACTTAGACTAAAGCTAAGGACAGAACTGGGGTCTTCCAGCATCCCCACCATCCTGGGTCCTACTTTGGGATCCTTCACTACCTCCACCACCAGGAGGACCATCCACCCTACTAACAGGGCTAGAAACCCAACATGTAGTTCTGTTCCTGAGGCCTCTCTGCCACCCTACAGTTCCAGCCTGGCTTCTTACCCTGCTTCTCATGGAGGCTCTGGGCCCTCCAGGCAGGTCTCTGTTCTCCGTTTCTCCGGCATCTGCCCTAGGCCAGCCTCCTGCAGACACCACTTTGGGCCACCACTCTGTGCCAAGGCCCCCCCAACCCCCACCCGCCCTCCAGTCTCCACCCTCCTCCTCTGTGCAAAATCCCCCTTAATCACACACTCTCTTGTTTTCTTTGCTGTCCAGCCAAGTCTGAGAGTTGATCCCCAAACAGGGCAGTTTGGCTGCGAGGGAGAGGAGCCAGGTTTTTCCAAGATGTGGATGGAGAAGCCCACATTCTTCAGTTCTGCTTGAACCCCTGCAGCAATGGGCAGCTCACTCACAGATATTTTGAGACCTTGCTGTTCTGTCCAGCAAGGCTAATGTACACTCTTTGGATTTTTTTTTAAAAACCTTTTGGGGGCTTCAGTTGGTGGGGTGGTGTTGAACCCATGTGTAAGGATCCTTATGGATCCTTCCCTCACTGATAGCTACACATGGGCTTCTCATGGTCTCAGATGCATCTTTTGCTGACCTCCTCCCTGCCCCTGGCCAACCTGTTCCTAATACACCCGCCCCCTAAAAAGGTCCTCCCCCTTTTATCTTCTTGCCTCCTCTTTACTACTCCCTTGGAAACCTCAACTAAATCTGGAACTGAGACCCTTCCTGCATGGGTTCCTCTGACCCCCTCCCCCTTAGTTCTCCACCTCCACTCAAAGTGCTAGTAGTCTCAATCCCATCCCCCATAGCCCCTGCCTCTCTCTCCTTCTAGCACTGCCAGGCCAGGAGCTCATTCTTCCTCCTCCAGTGTCTCTCTAGGTCCTAACTGTTGTCTTTGGGTCTCTCCTCCTCCCCCCGCCCCCCACGACCCTCCAGCCCTTACCACAGTTCTTGGAAGCTGGGCCCTTCCTCCCCAAAACTGCTTCCGGCTCAAGTGTGGTGTGGGGGGCAGGCCCCTGACTGGGAGCAGGGACTCTGGCTGGCATTAGGGACAGCAGGGAGGGATACACACAGTGGTGTATGTGCATTACTATATGTATGTGACAGTGTAAGAGTGTGTGTGTGGCTGTGTGTGTGTGTGTGTGTGTGTACCCAGGCTTGGCCATTTTCCCCAGCCCCTCCTCTAGAAGGCTGGAGAGAGGCCGCCAGCTGGGGGAGGGGGCCGGCGCTGAAGGAGGAAATGCCTCCCGGAAACTGAGGCTCCATCCCATCCCAGGGATCCTGGAGGGACCCAGAGCTCCACACCCAGACCTCCTCGGCCAAGCTGAGGGGACCGGCAGTGGGGCCTCCCGGTGGAACAAGGTCCTGTCTGGCCAGGCAGAGGCCCGCACCGGCCTGGGGCCGCTGGCCTCCTCTAGGCGCTGCACATCTGGCTGGGCAGACGCAGTGCGAGGCAGCCCCTGCCCGGAAAGCAGACAAAGGCGGGCCGCGGCCTGCGGGGGAGGGGGCGGTGCTGGTCCCTCCCCCCACCCCCACAACCAGCCGCTAATTAAAGGCCCTGAGCCCGACCACTGGAGACACCCTGAGACAGACAGCAGTGGCCTGGGTGACCAACTCAGGGGAAGTGGGTGGCGCCACTCCCACACCCAGCCACACAAACACACACTGGCAGTGACCTCCACACACACTTCAGGGCGACCACACCTGTACAGCTAGCAAATCTTGGTGCACCGCAGACCCACAAAAGACTCCCTTAGCCCCCAACACACATGCTGACACACTCACACTCAGAGACAAACGCACGGAGACACACAACTACACACTCCCAGAGCTGTGTGTAGACACTTAACACTCATTTGCATATGGACACAACCCACAAGCTCAGACACATGAATCCACACAGCCAGGGCCTACACGCACAGTCGCACACATTTACACACAGACACACTGACAATCCAGAGATAAGCAGACACACAGGCCTACACACAGACACATTTGCAAGCTGGTAACAGTCCAGAGACAAACCCACAATTTCCACAAACCTAGACCTCAGCCACAGTCACTTATAGACATTTAAACACGAACACTTAATAATCAAATACACAGATACTTGGAGACAGACACACAAACCCAGACACACACTCTTTTTTTTTGCACACACAGACACTTTACTATGTACACACACTGGCTTACACTCACTCAAGCAAACACATAACACCCCAATCGCAGACTCACTACCAAAGCTGACAGACACACATGCAGACACACAACTCTGCACATACGTGAATGGCCACACTCACCCAGGCACAAGCACACAAGCATAGCAAACCAACCCAGACAGGCACTCCGAAGAACCCGGGTGCGTTCCGCGCCGCCACTCTTGGGACATTCACGCACCGACGCGACTCGCACAGCGGGACAATCTGATGTGCCACGGCCCCCCTGCCACACGGTCGAATGCAGACACACAAAGTCACGCACCCCAGCGGGTCGGATCGCGGGTACCTGCGCGCCGGGGCCTCCCGTCCGCGGTGGCCGCCGCAGTCTCACCGCCCCGCGCGCAGGAAGGGAGGGAGCGAGAGAGAGCGAGAGAGAGCGAGCGCGGCGGCGTGGCCGGGGGAGGGGGCGCGGGGAAGGCACTTCCTGAGCAGCCTGCCAGGGTTATAAAAAACCCCCAAACCGCGCGGCCAGAAACCCCGCCTGCCGCCGCCGCCTGGCCAGGGCCGAGGGCTGGATCCGAGCCAGGGACCCCGGAGCTCGGGCCACCCCGCCCAGGACTGGCGCCCCGCGGGGGTGGAGGTGCTGTGGAGGCACTCGGGTGTGTGTATGTGGGGGGGGAGTGGGGGAGAGGGAAGTAGGATGGGGGAGGGGAATGGAGGGTGAATGAGATGGAGAGAGGGGAGGGGAAAAAGAATAAAATGGGGGGGATGGGAGGAAGGCAGAATGGGGTGGATGGGGGGATCAGGAGAAAGAGAAAGAATGGCTTTGGTTGGGGGAGGAGGAGAGTTTGAATGGAAAGAGTTGGGAGGAAATGGGGGCGGGGGTGGAGGACCGGGCAAAATTGGGTGGGGGACAAGGAGAAGAGGCAGGAATAGGACAAGAGGGGGTTGGGAGAACGGGGTGGCAAGGTGGAAGAAAGGAGAGCCCACTCCCTCGCCAGCATCAGCAGCATCAACAACAGCTGTTATTTATTGAGGGCTGGTCGTCGCTCAAACAGGCATTTATTGGGCGCCTCCCGTGTGCCCGGCACGGTGCCCAGGGCGAGTGAATAAGTCCCAGTTGGGCCTCCGCCCTCCAGAGCTTCCCTCTGGGGGTTTTGATCTGCCTTGGGCTTGCCCTTGGGTTCCCCCTGCTGTAATTCCTTCACTGTGAACTGGGCCTGGCTGGTCCCATTTCACTGATGAGGACCCTGCGACCAGCAAGAGGGGGCCCTTTGGGTTCTGATGGCTCAATCCCTGAGATTATACATGAAAGATAGATAGTGACCTGGGCTAGCTTCCTCCCTCTTGGTGCCTGGTTCTAGGAGGGGGCAAGGTAGTGACTCCTGACCTCAGAATTCCAGGTCTTTTCCAGACATGGTCCCCTTGGAGAGGTGAGCAGAACCTTGTCCTTGACCTCTGATTCTAGATTTATTTATCCCTAGAGTGGGGGTAATAACAGCCTTTCTAGAGCAGGAGTGGTTGGGGGAGGGGAGTTTCATGCAGCAGAAAACATTTGTTTATTTGTTGTGTGCTGGGTTCAGCCAGGGACACAGCTGGGACCAGGTAGCCCAGTTTCTCCCCTGAAGTTACTCTTGAACTTGGAATGATACGTCTGGGCTTATGCATAAGCCTACTTATGCAGGTAGTCCTTCCATAAACGCCAGACTACTCCTGGAGTTGTCATCATCCCTGTACTCCCTGCAACCTCTCTGGTCTCAGTTCAGACCAGTGAGGCAGCTAGTCCTCGTGTTTGTCCCCCTCCCCTCCAGGGTCCCTGTTTCAGGAATGTCTAAACCGTTTCAGGAACGTCTAAACTGTCTCTGGCCTCTACTACCTATGGGCCTCCTGAGACCTGACCCTGGGCTGCCTTCCCGAGCCCTATTCTCCATCAAAGAGGTGGCTGCCTTGGCTTTCTCAGTTGGCTCTAATGCTGAAGGTTCCCACTGTTAGCCTAGTGCCTGGCTCAGCTACCTGTCCCTGGTGTGGGGGTGGGTGGCCCCCAGAGCACAATGAGAATTTCAGGGCCGCTTTTGAGCCAGGAGCTCCAGGCTCTGCCACTTACCAGCTATGAAACCTCTGTATAATTAGTCTGCAAAACTTTGGCTTATTTCATTCATTTCTCCTCTTTCCTGCTGCAGCCTCAGAGTTCCCTTGGGGTCTCCTTTTCCTGCCTGGGTGGGGCATGTGGCTTCAGGGATTGGTTGGGGGATGGACATGATACCTACTTTCAGTCCATGGGCTGTGTTGAGGTTTTTTTTTAGGGAATCTTGGGAAACAGACTTTTGCATCTTGAGTGGGATTTTTTTTTTTTTCTTTTGGTACTGGGAATTGAATTGAGGTCCTCATGCTTGCTAGGCAAGGCAGATCTACTTGAGCTCTGTCCCTAGCTCTTTTTGCTTTAGTTTGTTTTTAGACTGGGTCTCAAGCTTTTGTCTCAGCTAGCCTGCTATCTGGGTCCTCCTGTCTCCACCTCCCTAGTAGCTGGTATTATAGTATGCATCACCACACCTGGGCTTTTTTTTTTAACCCCCCCCCACCCTGACACTCTTATTAATATATGATTGACTTGTTTTTTGAGATAGCAGCTCACTAACTTTTGCCAGGGCTGTTCTCAAACTATGATTCTCCTATCTCTACCTCCCTAGTATCTGAGAGGAGTGAACCTCCACAAGTGGTCCTGGACTGACTTTTTAAAAGTCCTCTGGGGAGCTGGGCCCCAGTGGCTCATGTCTGTGATCCCAGCTACTCAGGAGGCAGAGATCAGGGGATTGCAGTTCCAAGCCAGCCCAGGCAAATAGTTCGTGAGACCTTGTCTTGAAAATACCTAACACAAAAAGGGCTGTGGAGTGGCTCAAGGTGTAGGCCCTGAGTTCAAGCCCCAGTACCACAAAAAAAAAAAAAAAAAGCAAACAAAACAAAACAAAAAACAAAACCAAAAACAAACCAAAAAACTTTGTGGGGCGGGGAGAGGGAGAAGATGTAATTTGCAACCTGTAGAATCCCAAGGGATGTGGCCTTAGGAGACATGCAGTACTTCAGGGCTGCCACTGGAGGCGCAATGGAAGCCCATTGTTGTCCTGGGATAGTAGGACATGGGGAAGAACATGGGGAAGTCATGATAACTTAACGATGACCGTGATGGAGAGCCCTGGCTTTGAGGCATGTTTTAACTTCACAACTGCCTTATGATGTAGGCACTCCTTCCCACATGAAGAAACTGAGGCACAGAGAGGGCTAACTGTGTATGGTCACTCAGATAAGAGTAGCAGGCAACCAGAAAAGAACCAATAAGAGAAATTAAATGTTACTGACTGATTATCTAACCACCTACAGCAAAGGAAGGTGGGGAATCCCAGAGAGGCCTTGGGGTCACGATGCTGAGGGGTGACCCCTTTTCCTGGTGGCTGGAGCTTCCCAGGTGTTAGCCCATTTGCTAGACGTTCCCCCCGCCCCACACACCGCCCGCTACTGAGTGGTTTGCTGTCTCATTAAGGAACAAATTCTGCCTGCACAAGGGGTCAGGTAGAATAGACAAAAACAAAAACAAAAAAACAAAACACCACTTCCCTGTTTGGGAGGTTAAGGAAGTTTTCCCAGAGCAAAAGTTTCAGGTTGTCTGCACAACAATGGGCAAAGACCTAAGGCCAAGTGGGCAATTTCTTCTGGGATTTTTTTTTTTTGGCATGAATCTTCACCTAACCCCATACTGGCAGATGTGCAAAGGTCTCCCATCCCCTCCTGGAGCTACTCAAAAGGCACACTGGTCCACTCCACTGTGGCTTAACAGGTGACCTTAGCTACAGGCTGAACTCACAGCGATCAGAGGGCAGAGCTCTTGCTTTGTAGATTTTGTTGATGCTGGGGATGAAACCCAGCACCACAGACTGAGCATGTGCTGGACTTCTGAGCTGCAATCCCAGCTCCTCTGCAGTTGTGGGGTCCCTGCAGAGATTGGGAGCCCCTTCCTCAGAGCCTGGAGATCCCAGAGGTGGGAAACCCCAGGCTACCGCATCCCATACAGTCCCTAAGTGCAGCTGTGTTAGGCATGCTCACATGGGAGTCCCCTTTCCGTGAGTCTAGTCTCCCGCCAAGGCTGATACTTTGCAAGAAAGGGTTTTGTTCTCTTTTGTGTTCAGCACTGTGGGCTATGAGCAGAGACCTCACGCAAGTGTGAAGGATCTGAGGTAAAGAGCATTTAGGCAGAAGGAATAGCATGTGCAAAGGCCCTGAGGTTAGGCTATGTCTGCTTTATTATCTGTTCTAGTATCATAATGAGGCCTATGTAGTTGGAAGGGATTGAGTTGGAGGTGGGAGGTGAGAAGGTCGCTAATGATGACAGTTCATGTAGGACCCTGTGGGCTACAGGGAGGACTTGAGTGCTGGACCCCAAGGGAGAGGGCTCTGAACAGAGGGGAATGTGAGATCCCAAAGAAGGATGGGATAGTCCCAGGGCAGGCCAGGCCCTGGTTAGGTATCTCATGGAATCTCCAAACCATGCAGTATTGCATACTTTCAGTCCTTCAGACTCCTTTTTCAGATAAGGCCTGGCAAGCTTAACTTGCTCCTTAGGCTTGCATATCTGCTAGGTGATGACAGATCCGTGATGTACATCCATGTCCATCTGCTCTCCTGGTGTGAAGATTAATGTACAAAGGCCTCCATACTGTCCATATGCCCACTAAATGCAAACTCCTCTTGCATTAGTCTGCTTTGTGTTACTATTGCCTGGGTTATCCTCAAACCACCACAATCCTGTCTCTGCATCTTATCATGCATCTTTGCCATGTAACCCCCATGGTGTTTGTTGATTGGCAATGCCTGTGAGGCCTCTATTATAGCTTTTTTGTGGGTATGGGAGCCCCTGCCGTTGGTTGGTAGTATAGAAGCTGGAATCCTGGCTTTGGGGGAGAACGATGTCTTGGGCAGAATCCAGAGTCCCAGGAAATTGAGCAGGCAGCCAGGTAGCTGCAGGGAGGGGCTGAGCCCCTGTTCATTGTCTTGAGCAGGATGTCCCTAACTAAAAGTGTGTGTCGTTCTGGCTTAAGTTTCCCTCACCCCTACCCAAGTCCAGTCAGATCAACTCATTCCCTGTTCGTCTGTGGACCTACATGATGTGCATTCAGTTGGGTCCTTGGATGCTCAAGGTTTGCTCCATGGAACCATGGCCAAATCAGGTCGTTCCATGCAGGTCTTATCAGAGCCTTTAATATACTCTCATGATTTGCATAGTTTTCTGATACTTATTTGTCCCTAGACATTTTTTTCCTCTGAATCATTTTTTTGGAGGAGGGGTGCTAGAGGTTTCTGGAAGTGTACAGCAAGTGCTGCCTTAACCCAAAGGGGAAGCTTGAATATGGAATTTCAGGCAGAAATGCTTGGCTTTCTTCTCCTCCTCCCCCTCCCCCTCTTCCTCCTTTTCCAGCACTGAGAACAAGGCTGGTGTCCCACAGCTTTCTCTGGGGTGGCCCAGCAGGGTTGCAAACTTTGGGCAGGCCAAATTAGGAACTCAAGGGGAGGTCGGGTAGG